AAGTCTTTGCAAGAGCTTGTGATTTTTTTGAAGAATGTTATTTCCAGAGATTGTGTTAATTTACGCTGTCTTATTTATCTGGTCAGATAAGGTTTAAAAAAAAGTCAATCTGAAAGTATCACATGGTGCTTATTCTCTTGAAAATTCTAAACACTTCTGCATATTTACTGAGCCCACTTTTGGGAGCAGCGCTTACACTTGGATAGTTTTAGGAAGAAAAGGCACAACCCTTTTCCATAAATGAATTTCTGATGGCATTTAACTTCTGTGTGTGTTTTTGAAGACTCTACTGGTGTTTTGCAAAAGTGGGGCTTTAGGAAAAATACAGTTTTAACTGGAAACCTTGCTCTGCACCGTTAGGATATCAGATTTTAAATATATTGCAGATGTCCACCTTTGCTATTCTAGCATGATTTAACATGACTAAACCATAGTTCAGTAGCAGTCGAAGCCATGTATGAAGAGCTTAAAACTTGTCTTGAAGAACCTAAACAAACAGATATTTGGGTATCCTGAAAGACAGACTTTAGAGATGGAGCACTACTGACATCAAGAATTAGGGAAGTTTGACCACTGGCTATGATGGTTGTTGGGATGCATATAGACATGGCATTTGCGTCATAACCGAGACGTCATTATAGAAGGAGGGGACATAAAGCAAGAGTTACTTTCTTCAACTAGAACCATAGCATTGGCTATAAAAGTATTGCCAAAAAGTAGGAGTGTGTTTGAGAACTTTTGATGGTCTGCCTGTAATCACAGCATTGATGACATCTAGCAAATAGTAACAGTAAAAGGACTCTAAGGAGCACAGATTAAATTTGGTTGCTTAAGGTAGACAAAAAGAGATCAGACTAGCTTCATGATACTTATCTAGAAAAGAATGCTGGTACAGTTTGAAGAGAGAAGCCCAGCAATTGCCTCCCTGCCCGCCTCCCACCTGAATTTTATGCTGTAGTGTGACTTAATGGGTCATGTGCAAGCTGTTGCACAATGGGAACTAACAGACTGTTACTCATACAGGACAGGAAAGATCTGAACCCTGGAAAAAAAATTACCTGTCTTCATTTCTAATTTATGCAGCAAGTGCCTTAACAAGGCTGCCACTTGAGTTTTTGCTTCTGGAATTAATCAGTGTGTCTTACATGGTTGTGAAGATAATATCAGACCTAGCAAAAGGCATTGGGAGGGATCAGGCAACACTGGTTTATATGACACCTAGCGATGGTAGCTGAAACTTTAGGGTCATGTATATGTAGTTTACTACCTACTTACTGTATAAGAGCAGCCCAGAGTATAGGCCAAAGGCAGAGAATACGGTAATGATGTTCCAGTTTTGTTTGACATAAGGAAGCCATGAGAACCGAATTCTGTGAAGGTCTTTATCACATTTATTGTATCAAAAGACAGTCATACAACAATATGAAATTGCTAGCACAAATGGACAAATGCCCACTGTACAAGGATGTGGTTTCTGTGGGTTCTGGACAGTCTAATCAGACCACCATGCTTTGGTGTGATGAGTTAGCATCCTCTGAACTAGCTTCTAGCCATTGTTTCTCTTTAGGTTCATACCATTCAGACTTCTAATTAAAATAAAACCAAAAGCCAACTGGTGGTATTGATATGTAAGATCTTGTGTCTCATTTATAAAGGGCAAGGTTTTTATACATCAGTGCAACCTTTCCTACTTCAGACTGGTGACAGATGCAAGGCTTTTTGGAAGTCTGCTGGGATGGACAGTTGTGTCTGTTGTTCACTCCAGACACTTTAGCCTGACTAAATTATAGGAATGTCACTTAGTTTGGTGCAAACAGTATGACCATCCAGGCAATTAATGTAGAATATACTCATGCCTCCTCACCAGCATGCGTAATAACACGTGGAGTCACAGAATAGTTGAGATTGGAAGGGACCCCTGCAGATCACCTAGTCCAGTACCCACACCCATGCACTTCTTTTCAAAACAGCATCAGTGTTAGGTTCTTCAGTGCCATGTTGTTGCATTTTGAGTCTGTTCAAAATGGGGGTGGGATATTTATTTTGAGCCACTCAGCATCTTTGTCCTGTAGTTGCATTATAGCATGCATATAAACCACCACAGCTTTGAAGTGCGATTTTAGGACTCAAGAGCCCTGAGACACTTGAGCTAAGTTGTCTTTCACACACACAATATATGCAATTCTTAAGGCTGAGGCTTAAGAGCTTGATGAGCCCTCCCCAAGGTCTGTATAGTTTGGGCTTTAGGAACAGTTGCAGACTAACAATCATTTTTGTCCTGCTCGTTCTTCTAAGTGGCAATGCAGTATACATAAATTTTATAAAAGTTTGAAAGGAACAAAACACATCCTTCTAAGGAGAGCTAAAGACCCAGATGCAATTTGAAAGGGCTAGGTGTTATTCATGGTAGCGGGAGACCTGGACTCTAGGGTCAATCACTACATTCAGTTTCCTGGTTTTCTAGGAACAAGTAGGGCTTGTTCTGATGACAGTCCTTTCCTGGGATGGGGCGGGGGTTGTGGTTTGGTTGTTTTGGTTTTTTTCCTTGTTGTATTGTCTTCTTGGAGTTTGTGGGGTGTGGATGTTGTGAGGTAGGTTTGTTTGCAGTTGTTTTGTGGTTTGGGTTTGTTTTGGGTTTGTGTTTTTGTTTATTTTTTTTATTTTTATTTTTGCAATGTGTAACATACCGGATGCAAGTGGCACCCAGAATGAACAGCAGGTTTGCAGTCTGCCTTCATGTGCCTATTTCTATACATGTGTAAGCATGTTTATCTTATTCACAGAGTTGTAGTAAAATTTTTATTTCAGTACTAGGACAGTCAAAAAAAATGTAAACAGGTCTCAGTAGGACAGGTAGCACCCACATGAAGTGTAAGGCTATTACATAACAAGTTATATATAGTCATGGTTTCTGCTTCTGACCTTTTTTGACCATTCTACATATATTTGACCATCCCACAGATTCAAGCTCCTGCATGTTTTCCTAAATGTGTGGTCTATAACTTGTGCTTGCAGATGCAGCAGCTTTCTCAGAGCCATTGGCTTAGTCTGCATTTCAGAGTACACCTAATCCTTCAGGGTTGGATTTGGTTTCTTTATGTGTGTGTGTGTGTTTTACATATATATATACACACAGACACAGAGTGTATCTATCTATATATCTATCTACACACACAAACGTACATATATACATATACATGTATATATTTGCAATCGCTACCACAAGTTGTTTTAAGGGATTAAAAGTCATAACCATATATAGGAACCTAAAATAATGTGATCTTGGTGGGGAGGTCCCACCTGCAAGTGACAAGGTATTTCAGAATTATTTTTGTTGCCTTCTGTGTATGAAAATGAGTACCATACCATCATCATTATTAACAATTTGATGTCATGGTTCATACACACAGTGCTTGCTAATTCTGGTAAGGCAGTGTTTTCTCAGATAGGCGTAGCTTGATTTAGCCAGGAATAAACTATACCCTGAGAACCTGGTATTAACAATACAGAAGCTTACATGGCAGTACACAGCAAACATCTGTACTTGCATGCAGGTTAGAAAGTATTTTTACTCTTACTAGTTGAGAACAGCAACTTCACCAGCCTGTATACTGCCTGGCTGCTTCACTTTGTTGTTCACATGTAACTATAGTCGTTTGCTATTGGAACTTACTATGTTAGCATATAATTTGAAGAAAAAGTTTAAGATATTATTTTCTGCTTCTTTATAGCTCTATTAGGTATATATCTGTTTGAATGGAAGATGTTATGTCTCTAAAAGTTTATGCAAAAAGTGTTATCAACCTGGAATGTCAGTTTTAACTAAGTCTTTGAATGTCAGCAGACTGCTTTGTAATTTATTAGCTGTATATTGTTAAGACCGTTGCTGTTTGTGATCAAAACCTCTTTATCTACCACTTGTCTTAAATGCTGATGTATTACGTTGTTTTTAATGTCATGTAATAGTATGTATGGTTTGTTTTAGATGTGACATCCAACTAGAAACAGTCCTATCACAGCTGGAACTCAAAATTTTAAGTGCCATTTATCACCTTTGTGAAGGAGCAACAGATGATTTATTCCTTCATATATAATAAACCATAACTTAGACCTCATTTATTTCTTTTACACATGCAGAACTAATGGCTTTTCCAAATTTGGTTCATCAGACAAGAAAACAAGATGACAGGAGGTAATACACTATTGCAGACAGCTCTGGATTACTGTTTCCCTTTGAGAATGTCAAAATGTTGTTTCAGCAACACCAAGTGCTATATCATAACTGTGTTTGTGTCTTAAGCATTACCTGTCTTTGAGAAGAACTATAATCCAACCTTGATTTGTATTTCTAGGCATCTTTTAGAACCTCTTTCTTGCGATTCAAATGCATTCTTAGCCAACTTGAGAGAAATACGAAAAAATAATGCCAACTTAACAGTAACACCCATGAAAGGCAAGTGTTCACCTCCAGTTGGGAACAAGACTTAATCCATGGTCAAGCATCCCAGAAACAGTAGCATCAACACAAAGGTAAAATACTGGACTCTGAAATTAACATTAGCCAGTCTCCCTCAGTAATTTCTTCACTGTAACATATGCCATAAGGGAAAGGAAAACTCAAGCTCAAGGAAATATTATTTATTTATTTATTTACAAAATTAGATCTTAATTTACAGCTTTGGAAGAAGATACGGGCCAATACAATACATTGCCCATTACAGTCAGTCTGCACCAGGTAAAAAGAACACCAGGAATCAAAGAAAAAAGATTGTGTCCAAGACCCACACAAGGGAGAGTTACTATAGGGAGCAGGCAAATGTGTATGCAGCTCTCCACAGGTATTTTTTTAAAGAACAGAATTCAGATTTTACAAAACTCATTAAAACTATTTGATAGCATGTTTAGTAACTGAGACATCTGCCACATGATGCAATTAGTTCCAATCATGGCACCGTAATTCATAGTATGAAGTTTTCATATCAATATAAAATGCCTTAGGCTTAAGGTCTTCTGAAGTAGGCCTCAATTTGTTCCAGGGTTTGCCCTTTTGTTTCAGGGACATAAAAGGCTGTAAAAGTTATATTGAGGAAGCAGAAGGCAGAGAAGAGCCAGAATGTGCCATAGGATGTTAAGAAAGCCTGAGGGAGGGGAAACAACAACAACAAAAAAATATATTATTATGGCTCACTAGTGTATAACTATAGCTCTTTATTGCCAGAGAAGACTTTAATAAATCTCCCCATGAAAAGAAACTTCAGATTGTAATTTACGATGCTTACGATAAAATTGTAAAATTCCTTGGTTACCAAGAAGGCCATAATCCAGTTTGTTAACACACAAGCACCACTCGATATGCCTCTAGCTTTAAGTGGGAAGATTTCAGATATCACCAGCCATGGAACAGGGCCCCAGCCAAGGGCAAAACCTGCAATTACAAACAGCTGAGAATAAATGCAAGTTAAGTACATATTAAAGGGAAGACTGAATGATGACGAGAGGAAATGAACTCAAGTTGCATAAGGGGAGGTTTTGACTGGGCATTAGGAAGAATTTCTTTACTAACAGAGTAGTGAGGCACTGGAACAGGCTGCCCAGGGAGGTGGTGGAGTCACCATTCCTTCCCTGGAGGTGTTCAAAAAATGTGTAGATGTGGCACTTGGAGACATGGTTTAATGGTCATAGTAGTGTTATGTGATGGTTGGACTTGATGATATTAGAGGTCTTTTCCAACCTTAATGATTCTATGATTCTATGCCCAAGTTAGTCAAGTAAGGGAGATGCAGTATTCACTCCAGATTCTTAGCCAATTCCTCTACAACAGTTATCCCTACCAGAAAGTTATTTTAGGGCAGCATGATAGATGCCAGTGCATTTTACATCAAATTAATTACAAGAATATTCTTAACAAGCAGAACTTCTTGCCACAAAGTCTCTGACATGCTAAGCTTAAAACTGACTTGGTTTCTAACTGCTGCTGCCTGGTACTATCACAGAATTCACAGTCGCTTAGACGCTAACAAAGGTACTTTTTTTTCCATTAATGAGCAATTACTACTTACTATTAGCACAAAGAGGTTTAAATCAATTTTCCAGGGAACTGGCTTAACTAAGCTGCTAGCTCTGTCACCAGGGTTGTGAATGCTTAGCCCAGCTTTGCATTATACACTGAAAAGGTCTCAAAGACGTAACTAATTTCCGTTTGTCAAGAACGTAGTACAGTGGACAGAAAGTGTCACATATGAAAATGAGTTTTGTGTAATGGCTACACAGAAAACTGTTCCACTTACCAGCAACGAAGAGCCCTAGGCTAACAACTGCAAGCCAGGATATGCTGCTTTCTGTTCCTAAGGATGCTGAATTTGGTGTGAACCAAACATTGGGATTTGCTAAGTTGTTTTGATTTGGAAGAACCATTTTAAAGTAAAGCCCGAACAATGCAGTACTGAGCGCCATAATTATCCCTGAAAAGTAAGCAGTAACAAAGTTGTCACTAGCTGCCACCTGGGCATTCTTCTGAGAGACAGAACATAGTTGGTCAGCCAAATGTAGATATACTGGTTCTCACAGAAGTGTTTCTTAAAAGATACTGGTTTTGGAAAGAAACACTGGCCTTGAAAGGAGTGAAGGATGCTAGACAGACAAGCATTCTAAAGCACTTGCCAAACCATCAAGAGCAGTCATTACTACTGAGTGTGCAGCACAACTACTACATCAAAAAGAATGTTTTATTTAGCACATTTATTTGTAAAGTTAAAAATTTAAACTATATTCTTTGTATAACTAAACATCACAATGTGCCATGGAGGTACCAGCAGCCATGGATAAACTGCTTTGAAATAACCACTCGTTGATAACTTGGGTATGAGAATGTATGGTGACACTGAATCTTATTCAGAAAAAAACTATCACAGTAGTAAGAACTGTCTCAGTGACATAGCCATTTCAAAATAAAAACTGGCGTGGTAAAAAGACAAAAAGATAGGCCTATGTAGTTTTAAAGGGTTCCACCTATAATGCATATATAAACATGACAGTTTGCTCTTATGAACTTAAACATATAGTTATACCAAATTATAAATATAAAGTAAACCACTTAAAAATGCATAAATTGCAGTATTTAACTTCCCCAACAGCTAAGACATCTTTTGGTACTATATATAGTAATTTCTCTTACTGAACAAAACTGAGTAACACATTTTACCAGATATGTAAAGCAGCACTTTTCGTCCAGCTTTGTCTATGACAAGAGCAGCCACAGCAGTGAAACATACTTGTATGGAACCCACAACAACAGAAGCCATTCTGCTGTTCTGAAATAAAGTAAGACATAGGGAAAGTTTGCTCTCTCGAGCTGATAAGAGGATCACTTATCAAACATTGCAAATGCATTTGTTTCTTGAATCTGAAGGAAGAGAAACTGTGCCATGGCAATGAATGGTGGGGGAGACAACGGGGCGGGGAGGGGAAAACCAACACATCACCAATTAACACAACATACTCATCTCTTAATAAACTTTAAAATAAACCGCAACTTCTTCCTAGACTTTCACTTTCTCTGAAACATTGCATTTGCAATTCTCATTAAAATTATTACACAGGAAGATGACTATAATAAGAATTTTAATCAGACCAGCAAAGCACAACATATTCCCTCAAAAAAAAAAAAAAAAAAAACTGAACATTCAGGCATGCCAAAGTAACACAGTCAAGACGGTATATAAAATCCAAACAAAAAAAAAAGTCCACTAAAACCTTAACTGTGTTCTTTTTGACATGGGCAGGATCATTACCAAGTCAGTTGGTTATGTGGTTTAGACTTACTATAGCCCTGACTAAGCTGAAACTGTGGTGGACATTTGTTAGTTTGAAAAGACACCCCGATTACCTTGAAGTTTGCGTCCTCGAAGACAGTTTCTGCGTAAAACATGACTGCATTAATGCCTGTCATTTGCTGGAAGAACATTAGAGCCACACCAATAAGAAGTGGTCTGTAGACTGAGGGATTCTTAAATTCAGAGAGATTCAGTCCCTGATGAAAAGATTAATCAATTATTTGGAGAAAAATCTTTTAAATCAAAGAACAAAACCAAAAAAACCTCCTCAGAACACTTCAATCTATTCAAACTCAGAAAGTTCCCCACCTCCCCCTTACCAAAACTACGTGCTTTAGCAAATTATCTGAAAACTCAAAATAAGTATTTTTTCCCCCTTTTCTCAGGTTCTAGAGACAGCAATTGACAGTACTTTCTCTACAAAGTTAACATCAATTAATACAGTTTTCAGAAACCAAACTTCAATGATTAGACCTGCCTATTTAAGCACACATCTCACAAGAGGCTAAATGATGCTCTTAGAGACACACGAGAAAATTCATTCATAAAGCACAAAAAACAGGAAATTAGTTAGAGCTGTTGAACAATCCTACCAAATTGCTAAATAAAGCAAAAAAACTAGATAAGTGTAATAAATTAACAAGAGCCCAACTGCTACTCACATACACTGATGGCAGCCAACAGTGAAAGGTAGAGGAAAATTATTCACACAATCTCCCTTGCTTCTCGAGTATCATTTGTATGAGGGAACAGGTTTGGACGACCATTTGCAGAAAAGGCTATTAACTGAACTTGGGTAAAACCCTTTTAATTACACTATATGCTTTCAGATGTTATCACCATACAAGAAGTCTTTTTAGAGTAATCGGATTCTCATCACCTCTTCCTGAACACCAGCTTCAAGCTGCCTGCACTCCCATTCGTGGTCCACGTGTGGTCCCCGCAGGAAGCACAGAGCAGCTATGGCTTCCCAGCGGCTGTTCCTCGGCGTCTCAGGCACCAGGGACATCAACAGCAGCATCACGCAGGGCGGGAGAGAACACAACACTGCCAGCCAGCGCCACTGCAGTGTCATTCCTGGGTAAAAGGAGAGAGGACTGTGGACTTCAGCTACACAAACAAATCTTTTACTTTCAGTTTTGAAACCGAATTTACTTTCAATTCTTCAGTGTTCTTTGATTAGATGTACTAATTCTCTTTTGTAACCTAGAGCCCCAGCCCCAATACCTGCCACATAGGCTCCCAGTATGCCAGTCACCACCATCAACTGAACACAAGAGCCAAGCATACCACGGACTTTAGGATGAGATACTTCAGATATATACACCTAAAACATAGGGACAAAACACTGATTGCTAGTGATAGATTGATAATGAACAAGCATTTATTCCATACCTTATTACTAGTATTTCTTACCCTTTGATTTTAAGTTTGCATCTCACTTCAAAGCCTAGAAATGCTGGAACCACCAAAAAAGAAACAAGCTTGAATTCTAGATGTCTTATTACATTACCACCTACTCAGCTAGATCCAAAAGGTCAAATAATACCAGAGAAGACAGACAATAACAGAATTAATTATCTATCTCCATTTCCCTACTGCACACATATTCCTGAATGTATGTGAAAAGTTATTATCCAGACAGTTAAATGGAACCAGAAGGAATTAGTTATCATTACTCCAGGATGTGTGAGCAGCCATAGTTTATTTGCAAAACCAAGGAGTCTGGTGAAATATAACACTATTAGAAACAGCTAATAATAAGGAAAAATAATCCAGACCAACTCCCCCATATCTAAGGAATTTCAAAAAGTATTAGTAGACTATAGTAAAACATAAACAGAAACAATCAAATAAATGACTAATAATCCGAAAGATCCCATCACTGCATCAGGAATGCATAGGCCAGAAGTGCTACTAGAAGAGACATAAGGAAAATATAAATAAAACAAATTTTGATTTAAAACAAGCAAGACACTGTTCTATGAAAAAAAAAAATCAGTTTCTTCTAAATCCATAAACTACTTTGGCTACAGTCATTCAGTTACTTCACCCAAGCCACCTGCTACACAAAATGAAAACAAAAGCCACCACACATGCATACCCCCGCCCAAAAAGGTCTTACTTACTGGAACAACAAGTGAAGTAATTCCACTGGCTAACCCTGTCAGCAGTCGTCCAATATAAAGCATCCAAACATTCTGAGCAGATATAATAAGTGTGTATCCAAAAACATATGGTATTGAGCACAGCATTAGACTCAGCTTTCTCCCAACTTTATCCACAAGATAGCCTCCTAGTATTCCTCCGGCAGCAGCTCCTAAAGTTACTACTGACTTCAAAAAAACAAGTAGAAATAAAAAAATTATGATACATCTATATAAATACATATAGAAGTAAATGACAGCTTCTAAAAGAATATGCAAGTGTTTTGAAAATCAAAATAAACATGAACTTCTTAATCAAAACATAGTCAAGAAGCAGTACTCACAACTGAAGAGCAAGCAATTTTTATATTACATACAAAGCTCTTGCTAACCCTAATAAAGAAAAAAAATGCAGTAACTTGACAAAGGAAAATGGTTTCAAACTGAAGGGAGGGTAGGTTTAGGCTAGATCTTAGAAAGAAGTTTTTCAGCATAAGGGTGGTGAGACTGGCATATATTGCCCAGAGAGGTTGTGGATGCTCCCTCCCTGAAGGTGTTTAAGGCCAGGCTGGATGAGGCCTTGAGCAACCTACTCTAGTTGAGAACCGTGCCTGCCCATGGCAGGGAGATTGGCTTTGATGACATCTAGGGTCCTTTCCAACCCCAGCCATTTTATGATTCTATAATGATTCTATGATAACTGTTTGTTGATCTGTCTACAGCTGTCCATTCACAAACAGGCCTTTCAAACTGTTTTAGACTGTTTCAAACTGTTTTCTGTGGTACCTTAACTGGTTCAACTGAAAAACATGAGAATGGTTAGAAGACATTTCAGCACCAAAAAAAAAAAAGGTCAAATAATAGGAGCACTTAATATATGCTAACAGAGTTACCAGAGCCTAACAGCATTGTTACTCAGGAAAAATCTGAATGAATCACTAAGTTCATTTTAAAAACGGATTTAATTATTAGGATCTGCATTTAGCCTCATGCTTAAGACGAGTAAGGCCCCATCACATAAGTAGCATCTTCTTCACCTATGCTTTCAAGTGAAATCACATAATGGTAACTCATCATGTAGAGACTTACACCAAACCACGAGGCTTGATTGCTGTCCAATCTCAGTTTAGGATCGTTGATTTCCCTCAATTCTGGAATAACAGGTGAGCTATAGCCTAGCACAAAGCCAAAGCTAAGCGGTCCCAGGACAGCAGCGAACGTGACCAGGTACAGTTTCTTGTTTTGCACTCTGAGGCAGAAGAGGCTGACAAGGATCATGCCGCCCCCACCTCCCGCTTCCGGCCCCTTACTAGGGCCGGTAATGCTCGCGTAGGCCTGTCAGAGGCCTCAACCCCAAAGCTCGCCTCGGCCGCCCCCCGCTGTCGACCGCAGCCGACCTCCAGGGCAGTCAGAGCTGTCCTCGAGCCCGCCAGAGCGACGGCTCGCGGCGCCCGCGCTCACCTCGGGTAAGGGTCCGAAGCGGGGTAACCCAGCAGGGGGCGCGAT